GCCCCCATTTCCAAGGGGACTCTGGTGCACCTAAGATGGGAGAATTTACAGCTCCTACCTAACCCTCTAATAAATAGTCAGGGATGTCACTCGTTCCCTTCTCCTCATCATCGAGTCACCCTTTCTGAGATACCAGTCATAGACGTTAACACAAAAGCAGTAACCATGTCACTGAATGTGTAGTTTTTAACCCTCATTTCCCATTCATATTCCAGCCCCGGTTCTCTCTCTTGCATTGAAATTAGAAACTTACTTCCAGACTCCCCTGTGGTCTATCTCCCCTTTCATTGTCCACTTAGACATAATCTCTAATAGAATCTCTACATGAACTACAGGGGAGATGAAGATGCTGTGATTCACACCTGGACTTTACTGGGCAAGAGTCTGCTGAGGGGATGAATCACCTGTTAGTAAATGCTTTATTAAGAAGACTCATAGACCTCACCACAATCATGAGATGAAGGCACAGGACACTCTGTCGTAAGTCACTTTAATGGTCACAGAAGTAACACAAATCCTACAGAGTGGGCTCGGATGTGTGAGGAGTCCTGGGAAATACAGCAGCCCCCGTGTCTTGTAACACTTGTTCTGGGATTGACCAAACCATCTTAGTCCCACATCTGGTGTGGCTGCAAGTCAGTCCAGACCCCATGATCTCTGATCGCTACTGTCACAAGTGTTGCCTATCTACTTTCATTGCAGGGCTCTGGATTGCCCCTCTAAAACGTAAATCAGATGATGTTATTCTCTGCCGAGCACCTTCCTACAAGGTAGGCTCCAAAATTCCTTATCTAACTCTGTCTTCTGTTCCCCATATGTGAAATAGGGAAATAGGGTTCCATGTGAACATGAATCATATTTGTTTCAGTTGTCAGTTGCTGCACTAGAAATTGTCACAATATTTGGCAGCTTAAAACATCAGCAGTCACTTATTTTGTTCACCATCTATGACTTCAGCAAGGATTGGAGGAGAATTCCGTCCCTGCCCCAGGCAGTGAAAACCCCAGCAGTACAAAGGAAGTCTGAGAGACTCACCTCAAAAATACACATCCATAAGTCTCTCTACATGGCCTTGGCTGCTGGCTGTGACCTTGGATCCACCCTGAGTGGACATCTTTTGCACAGGGGTTCCTCCCAACCAGATGACTGGATCAGCTGAGTGCCCCACCCCCACACACAGTCCTGAAGGCGATTTCTTATAAACCTAAACAGCGTTTTAGAATATGATCGAAGAATCATGCTCCTAAGTACATACAATTAAATATTATGCAGCAATTATTAAAAATGACCTTTCAAACCGTGAAAAGACATGAACACATCTTATATACATACTGCTAATTTAATTAAAGTGGTCAGAAAAGGCTATCTATTGTTTAATGTCATATATTGGACATTCTGGAAGAGGTAATATAATAGATACAGTAAAGAGTTTGCCAAGAATTTGGGAATAAACTGTTGATTAGGTGAAATACAGGCAAATATTAAGGGTGGTGAAACTATTCTGTATGATACAGCAATTGTATATACATAACATTGTGCTATTTTTAAAGTCTGTAGAACTTTACAGGACAAAGAATAAAACTTAATGCATACTAATTAAAAAATAATTTTGGAGATTAGAAACTCCAGTATGAAAAACAGACTGCATAGAAATACTAATGACAATACAAATTAAAGAAACAACTTCACTGAAGTAGGTGGGTCCAAACGGTGCCGATGTAAGCAACTTTGGAGGTGAGTGGAGTCTGTAAGACCAAAGGCTACAGAACGTTAGCACTGGACTCTAGTTGATCAAGATGATTCTGACAGGGGTGCAGGTTAATACTTCTGATAGAAATAAACATGTGTAATGAAACTGATCAATTAAGGAAATGGATGGCATATGGTGGCTGCCAGATTCCTCACTCCTGGAATAGGAGCTTAGGACAGGCTATGACAGTCCTGGTGGTGTTGATTAGGGGTGGAGACATCAGTATGATCTCATGTGTAGATTAATATAGGTGCAGAGGATCAGATATGGAGACAGTTGTAGACGTGTGTGTGTCCAGATGTTAGTGTGCACACCTAGATTCCCTGGTCCTTTAGCTGAGAGATCCTGGAAGTGATGACACCACAAGCACAGCTGGCCTCAGGGTCTGGGATTCTACCATCATTCTTCAATAAAAAAGCCAAGAGCCCTTGAAGAAACGGCTGATTCTGGAGCTGGGAAGAGAAGATACAAGAAGAACAGATGCTCCATAGAAGAAGATATGAACAGGTATTCAACACGGCATTTCATTAGGGAAATGTATATAACACAACAGTGGTCTACTACTCACCTATTAGAATGGTAAAATCTGAAATAGCGACAAAAGCTAATGCTGATGAGCATGTGGAGTGACAGGATCCTCATCCCCTGCTGGTGGGAATCAACAGGGCTGAGGCACTTTGGAAGACATTTTGCCATTTCTTATGGAGTTTCACGTAGATTCACCACGTGATGGAGCAATCGCCTGCAGGGGAGGGTCCTGCCTGGGCTCACGGTGCATTTACCTCTCAGCAACTCTAGCCCAATGTTAAACAGCTGTGCTCTGACTTCAGCATGCTCTTTCATTCTCACCATATTCTCTTTGTATCATCTCTGGAAATCGGGAATTTGCCTTAGCCAACCCAGCAGGCTCTGCAGGGAGACTCTGAGGAAGGGTTTTATGAAACTACTGGGGAACCCCTTCCCTGGAGCTGGCAGATGCACTGATACAGTTCACATTCGTGGTGAGTCTAGAAACTCTTGGGGGTCTGGGGGGAGCCTCTTATCTCCATTAGGTTCCAGTTGTTGAAGGTCACATCAGACAATTCCTGAATGTGAGACCATCAAGCTCCTTGTTATTCCACATTCACTATTCCAATAACATACACATACACACAGTAACTGATACTTGCAGCAACTGGCCCCAAATTTCCCCTTCTTCCCCGTGTCTAGCACACGGACAGTGCCCCAACACTGACCCTAGGTCTGGATATGTGACCTGATTGGCAAACAGAACAAAAGCAGACACAATGAAAATGGAGACCGGAAAGTGTATGGACATAGGTTTGCTGAATCTCAGAGCATCAGGAACCCTACGTGTGCCATGATAAGAAAGGTCCAGACTTCACTGTGGAAGGTCAGACTCAGGGCTGAGCCACGACTAGTCAAAGCAGCTGAATCTGAGCCCCACCTTAATGTGAGGAGGGTTGCACTAGACCTAAAGCCCATTTTGTTCCCCATTCTCAGAGGGCATAGCCAGGCATCTCGAGGGCAGGGCTGCCCATAACTAGCTGGGTGATATCTAACCCATCAAGCCATAAAGTTGGGGGTGCACATCAACAGTACATCATCCAATGGAAGAGCTGGTATGGACATAACTGGGCCTGAGCTGGTCCTGAGGAACAAGTAAGTTACACGCAGAAGTGGCCCAAATGCCCGCGGTCCCCACACCTGATACACTTTGTTCTCTCTCCCGATCTTCACCTATGGTGTCATAGGGGGTTCCCTACAATTAGTTGACAGAGGAGAAGACTCTGGCATGGTTTACAGACGGTTCAGCATGACATAAGGCGCTACCTGAAGGTGCACAGCTGAAGCCCTCTGTCCCTCTCTGGGACACCCCTGAAGGGCAGTGGAGAAGGAAACTCCTCCCAGTGGGCAGAACTTTGATCAGTGCACATGTCATTCACTCTTCTTGGAAGGACAAATGGCCAGACATTTTATTACACAGCAATTCAGGGGTGTAGACAATGGTTTGGCTGGATGGCCAAGGACTTGGAAGGACCACGATGGGAAAATTTGTGACAAAGAAATTTAGGGAAGAAGTATGTACATAGATGGCTCTGAATAGGCAAAAAATTGAAGACGTTTCTTCAAAATAAGGAAGACAAGTCTTCAAAAGTGCCCCATGTGAAGATTTTAATAATCAAGCAAATATGTGGCCATCCTGTGGACACCAGTCAATCGGTCTCCCAGCTGTCCCTGTCATCACTTGATGGACTCCCGATCAACCTGGCCACGGTGGCAGAGAAGGAGGTTATACACGGGCTCAATCACAGGGACATCCACCCACCAAGTCCTACCTGCGTACAATCACTGCTGAGTGCCCAATCTGCCAGCAGCAGAGACCAACCCTGAGAACACAGTTGGGCTCCATCCCCAGGGGTGATCATCCTGCTACCTGGTGACAGGTTGATTTCATGGAACCATTTCCATCACAAAAGTGGTGGCATTTTTTTCTAATTGAAAGACTCTTACACTGGATATGGATTTCCCTTCCCTAAATGCAATGCTTCTGCCAAAACTTCCCTCCAGGGACTTAGAGAATGCCTTATCCACTGTCACAGTATTCCACACCGCCGGCATTGTTTCTGATCAGGAAACTCACTGGCTGGCTTGTACACTGAGCTGGGCTCTGCAGAGCTGCATTGTTGAGTCCAAAAAATTCTGCATTGTTGAGTCCAACAAAGTCTCCTTTATAGATTTAGCTGAATGACATCAGAAGTTTGTATAAGTACTTGTTACATAGGGAGTAAGTGTACAAGTTAGTGGCTGTGAGTGAGTCTCTGGTTTCCAGGTCTTTCAAAAGTTTGTCATTCAGACACTTAAGAGGTAAGCACGGAATCATGGGGTCAGGGAGATTCCCCAGGGAAACTGCTATATGGAAAGGAGGCCCCAGACCCTGACAGTAAACCAGCCTTTAACCTCCATTTGCACCTGCTCCTGGAGCTGAAACACAGAATTGGTGGGTGCTGCGCACCCCCTAGTGGTCGTGAGCCCCTCCTGCAGTGAGGTTTTGGTCTGAGCTCACACTGACTTCCCCTCATTGTGTATATTGCACAGTAATACACAGCTGTGTTCTCGGTCCTCAGACTGTTCGTTTGCAGATACAGCGTGTTCTTGGATTTGTCTCTGGAGATGGTGAATCGGCCCTTCACGGAGTCAGCATAGTATGTGCTACTACCATCTATATTAATGTATGAGACCCACTGCGGCCCCTTCCCTGGAGCCTGGCGGACCCAGCTCGCGGCGTAGCTGCTGAAGGTGAATCCAGAGGATACACAGGAGAGTCTCAGAGACCCCCAGGCTGCACCAAGCCTCCCCCAGACTCCACCAGCTGGACCTCACACCGGACACCTGCAAACACAAAGACATCCTGGTCAGGAAACTGTCTCACATCCACTGTTTCTCTCACTCATATCCTCTCACATACTCAGTGTCTCTTGTTCTCCATAAATTACCTCCTAAAATAGCATCAAGGAAAACCCAGCTCAGCCCAAACTCCGTGGTGAGTGGTCTGTGTTCAGTCCTGATCACTGAATGGGAACACCTGGGAATCCCGGGGCTGGGCTCCTCTCCAGAGCTGCAGGATCGAGGTTGGGCTGGTTTTCATCAGCAGAGGGAGGGGCCTATTTGCATATCCTCAGACTACATAGCAGTCTCTGGGGTTGGACGTCTCAGAGAGGACAGTGGCCTAGTTAAGATGAGCGAGTCCTGGGGGAGTTTGGTGGCAATTACAGTGTTCAGGAGAATATGATTTTTAGTACCTGAGGTAAACACTAACATCCATTGTGTGATTTTGTTTTTACACAGGCACATCAATCACGTGGTGTAGTGTCAATGTCACCTGCTATCCAGATATGAAACTGCACACAGAAGCACAGAGGGTTTGTGTGATGTGTCCATGAGCACTGTGTTGATCAGGATTAGCCCAGTGCCTGGGCTGTGTTACTCACCACTGTACGTAATTTCTCCCTCAAGCCAGGTCCAATACTAGGTGGGTCTGCCTAGTGAGGTTTGTGCATCCCCCTTTCATGTAATGAGAAGACAGTGTGATTTTAGCATTTTAGTGTTTACACAAAGAAGGTAAACACAATTGTGGCTCATGCAATGTACTCTTGGTCGTCTGACATTTCACACACTGTTACCTCTGTCTTTAACTCTCTTCTCTACCAATATGAGCACTTTCTGTTGTAACAGCCTTATTGTGACATAACTGACCTGTACTAAACTGCACACATTTAATATTCTCATCTGATAAACACTGGCGTATGTGTGCACCTGTCACCCATCACCACAGTCAACATGGAGAACAAACTCCTCACCCCACTGCTCCTGCAGTTTCTCTGCAGTTCCTCCCCCATGCCCCCTCTCCCACCCCGTCCCCAGATGTCTCCTGGACCTTCTCTGTGCATCTTTTTTTTTTTTTTAAAGATTTTATTTATTTTATTTTTTTCCCCCCAAAGCCCCAGTGGATAGTTGTATGTCGTAGCTGCACATCCTTCTAGTTGCTGTATGCGGGACTCGGCCTCAGGATGAACGGAGAAGTGGTGCCTCGATGCGCACCCGGGATCCGAACCCGGGCCACCAGCATCGCAGCGCGCGCGCTTAACCACCAAGCCACAGGGCCGGCCCTCTCTGTGCATCTTCACATGAGTTTCCATCTTCTAGGATTATACAAATGCTGTCACGTGACATGGACTCTGATTGTTCATCTTCTCAGCCTCATTGTTGGGAATGGATCGTGTGTGAATCAGGCCCACACGGATCTAATGCTCAGTCTTATTCCCATGTATGGATATGCCTCAGTTTGTTCTTCTCTTCGCCTGTGATGGGTGTTGGGTGGTTCTCAGTTCCTGGTTATTACAAACAAAGCTGTTACTCAGCCTGTGTGCATAAGGCTGAGAAAATGTTCTTATTTTTACAACAAACACAACATCAATAGCAAGAAAGCTGGACAAATTGCAAATTCAACATATCAGAGAACTGACATCACAGGGAAAACTGCCCACCTGCTACCTGGAGACTCAGGTGCCTGCAGAGAGGAAGAGGACCGAGCAGTAGTCTGCCCCTGTGAGAGGTCTCCAGACGGCTTAGGAGCCACCAACAAGATTAAACTAAAAATAAAATAAATAAACCATAAGGATGCAATGTACAGCAAGGAGACTGTAGTTAATAATACCATATTTCATAGGTGAAAGTTGCTAAGAGAGTAGATCTTAAAATTTCACACCGCGAGAAAAAGAATCTGTAACTATGTATGGTGACGGATGTTAACCAGACTTGGTGATCATTTCACAATATATACAACTATAGAATCACCATGTTGTATACCTGAATCTAATATAATATAATGTTACACATCAATTATAACTCAATAAAAGATTAAATAAATGTTTTGACATATGGGTTTAAGTCTGATTTCACCTAAAACTTGTTTTTCCAGAGAAGCTGACTTACAGCACCACCAAACATACGTTGTACGTCTGCTTCAAACGTTTGCACAGATAGAGAATGCATTCTCTCTCTCTCTCTGATGCTGACACCAGTACTTCTTTGAAGATAAGCATTTCTTCTCAGAGAACAAGGGCCAAGTTGCTTTGCTGTGTATGTACCAAACTTTGACAGAAAATCTCCCTGTGACTTTGGAAAAAATTATATTCCTGTCACGCTTGATGTGTGTTCTTAGTTCTGAAACCGCATATAACGGTGCTGTCAACCAAGATTCCCAGAGTGGTTTCTTCCCTGGAGGAGAGAGGTCTTCCGAGCTATTCCTCACATTATCTCATTAAATATCTTTATTATCTAGGTGCTTGTTCTTGATTATTTATATCAACACTCTAAAGCACCGACAGACTGGGACACCTCTGATTCCTGATGTTTCACAGGTGAAGGGCTTTGCCTGCAGAAACTAGTCTGTAGAGACTAGAAGATGTGTCTACATCCTCAAATGCACAGACACCAACACACGGCCACTCTCTGTGGCAGCTACAGAATTAGTTCCTCCGTTCTTTTAAGAAATCCACCTCAGACAGAAGGCTATTGTCTGAGGGTGGGGGTGATTGCTTTATAGGAAAGATATAACTTTTCTGTTGATAGAGCAGAGATCATCAGTAACTCATGCATGGAGTTGATAGTCAAATAACCATCCTGAAAAAAACTGGAGGGGCTAAATTTTAAGTTGTTGGGATTTAATTTGAGAGGTCTAATAAGAAATTGCTGAGATGATTTTCATAGTCCTGAAAGTCATGTGCCAATAGGATAAATGCTGAGCTAGATGAGTGGACTCCAAATAGATGATAGATAGATAGATAGATAGATAGATAGATAGATAGATAGTTAGATAGATAGATAGATACATAGAACACATAATTTTGTAAATCATTTAAAAGACATTAGAGGTTATAAGCAATATGGCCATCATCTACACAAACATAAATAATTAAAATATTGACAGCTTCCACTATTTACAAATCATATTTTCATACTTTAAATAATATTTTGATGCCAAATTTGGCATACACATAATTCTAAAACAAAGGACAAGGCTTCCCAGCTCCCGTTCTCCTTAAGGGATATGCTTATGACTTTGATTTTTTGTGAATAACTACACTCTCGGCATACGCAGGCTAGAAGATGCCTCATTCGAGGTGTTGCATGTTGTATAACTTTGTCTAAGGCTTTGTGCCAACTGTTTCCTACAAGAGCCAGTGGAATACATCAGATAAACCTAATCACGTATGTCAGAAAGAATCACACCTTTAGGAGGAGAAGACGTCAACTAGGAACAGAGACTATGCATCTGTATGATCCAACGTCTTTCACTTACTGAATTGATGATGGCAGAGGAGTAACTGACCCATTTTCCCAGACTCTGATGTTGTAAGGAGAACTGGGCCTCAGGGAGGAAAACACACAGAGGGCCCCTAGGTATACATTTGCTCACAGGAACGGAAACTGCAGACCCCAAAAGAGAACCCCTCACTCCCCAGCCTCCCTCTGTACCTGCCCTGGGGCTGGGACCTGTGGTCAGAGGGTCCTGAGCACCCCTTGCTGAACAGACTCCTCCCCACTCCAGGCTCTTTCTGTTTCCCCTGCTTGGTGGTCCAGGGTCCCCTATCCTGTGGTGCCCTGGGCTCTGCGATGTTCAGAGATAAGAGCCCTGTCCTTGGTCTAGACCATTGTCCCTCTATTTTAATAGTTGTGGCTCCTTCAAGCTTGTGCCCAGAGACCCCTCTGCCTCCCAGGCACCCTCCCTGTGTCCATCATCTGTCTTCCTCCTTCAGGTCACTTCTTTTCATTCTCTAAGGAGTTACCCATGGTTTGATGCCCTTTTGTCAAAAATTATTATAATTTGCAGTGATGAAAAGAACTACATACATGAAAACTTACATCATTACCTTGATTTCATGCCCTTTACGTTATTAACTTCTATCTCATCTCAGGCTCTCAACCCCACAGTCCTAGATCAGACCTTGTTATTTTCATTAATTGAACTAAATCTGCCTCTCTCACTCCCTATCTCTCTATCTTGTATCTATCTATCTTTTTTTCTATCTATCATCTATCTGTCTGTCTATCTATCTATCTACCTGCCTATCCATCCATATATCCACATCTATCTCTCTGTCTCTCTCTATCTATCAATGTATCCATCCACTATACCTGGTCATTGAAAAATGACCTAGATAAAAGGGAACAGAATACATAGTGTTGAAGGAGAAGTATTTTTGAATATAATTTTATTAAATTTTTTATCTAATAAGAAAGATAACTAGAATTTTATGGGAGTATAACTTAAATATGGATAAATTGACTCTCTTTAGCCTAAGGTTCTATGAGTTTGGATAAACACACTCAGGTAAACACCACCAAAATCAAGTTGTAGGGCAATTCAGTCACCCCAACTCAAGAAATTCACTCTTCTCCTTTCTATGCATCCCGTTCTCTCACCCACACTGATACGCTTTCTATGGGTTTAGTTTTGGAGATTCTGTATCACACAGAGGGGATAATGTAGTGTGTAGCTTGAGGCAGTGGCGTCTTTCACGTAGGACAATGGAGGTGAGATTCATCCATATTCATGCATGTACTGGTTCTTGCTCCTTTTAATCAGTAAACAGTATTTCATTGTTTGTCCATTGACTTGTGGGAAGACATCTTGGCTGCTTCCATTGTGCAGGAAACATAAATAAAGCCTCTATTAACATCTGTGTATGTGCACTGAGCGAACATTCGTTTTAATCTCACTTACTTGTAGGCCTACAATTGGAGTGACTGGTTAGATGGTAAGTTTATGGTAAACCTCACAAAAAAGTGGCAAAGGTTTTGAAAGTGGGGGTGCCATTTGCATTCCCACAAGTAGCACCTCGTTCTGTTTCAGTCCCCATTCTATACTGGGGGCGTTGTTCAATGTTTTGCCATCACCACTGAATCACGTGCACAGGACTGGGGCACATGGTCCACCTGCAGGAAGCCCCATGGCCATTGCATCTGTGCATGCTGGGATCTCAGCCCCAAAATTCCTCTTTAGATCCAGGTTCAGCCACAGTTGGTTTTCCAGCTCAGACGTCAGAACTGGACTTGGAAAGCCCACGTTGCTGAGTGCTTGTGTGAAGACTCCTGTGAATTAGTGGATCTAGTGTGTGAATTCTTGATTCCCCACATGATCCGATTTTATTTCATTATGAAGATAAAATCAACTGTATGTGACACACTATGTGGGTGACTAGGTAGCCAGCTTCTGTGACACTTGGATTTAAGCAGAGACAGGCTCACACTCCACAGCCGTTCACTCCTTGTTGTTCTGGGATACCCTGGGCAGGTGGCTGGGTCAGCAGCTGGCCCTCTCTTCACAGACATTCCTGGAGGCGGCCTTGTTGGAACACAAGGTGTGGCGTCAACTCCAAAAGGTGTGGGGAAACTAAGATTAGCTGCCTGTGCTGGAAGAGGAGGGGATATGGATATCGATGAAGTTTGAGTATTTTCTGTCATATCCTCTCTTTGAGACAAATGGCATGTATCTTGGATACATTGTATAACTTCAAAAATGATCTCCACAAAGAAAAGTATACATGATATAAGCCAAAGTGTAAATTCCTTATGTAATTTTGTATTCTAACTTAGTGAATTATGGGATAAATTATTCTTCCAAAGTGAATTCTGAAATAGTTCATAATAGATTTGAAATAAGTTAATTTCCTAAACAACCACTCTTAAGAAGATGTAAATATTTAACGTAGAGGAAAATCAACTGCTTTTAATGTCACTATTATGAGATGGATTATTGAATATAGAACTCTACAAATAATAAAAGTATTGGGAAAAAGGGTTTATAATACGTCAAATGATAATTGAAGGCAATTAAGTTGTTGTGGAAAATGATATTACATTGTAAATTTATATGTTAAACATAACAAGAAAGTATTTTTAGTTTAAGTACATTATTAGTTATTAAAAAACTTCCAATACACAATCTAGGAGTAGCAAAATCTAAAAATGATATGCATTACCATTTATAATAAGCCATCATAGATATGCACAAAATAAATCATACCAAGGATATTAGGGAAAGAAGGACATTAAAAGAAGACAATGTATCTAAAATATTTTGTGTCAATAATTACATTTTTAAAAAGAATAAATATACGAATAGCTTACAAGTAACAAGATAGAGGACAGCCTGCTCATTATGCACAGCACAAACTGAGACTAGAATAGAGAAAACTTAATAAAATGAAATGTACTTAAAAATAACAGTTTTAGGAAGAATTCAGAGGTTACACAGGCAAATGAGAGGGACTATGAGGGCCCCCACTCCAGATACTTCTCCAGATACTCCTGGGCCAGTACATCTGACACAAGGAGAATCACAAGAAGGCAGGCAAGTTAGACTAATAATTCTTCTCACACCTTCCAGAAACATCTGAGAGACACACACAGGACAACTGCCCATAGACAGAAGGAGGTCCCATGAATTCTGGAGTTCCCCTGGGTGAGAACATCCATCCCCAAGAGAGCTTCAGGCTAAGTGGAGGAGTGGGCTCAATTTCACCCCATGGGCAGAGGTTAGATTTTCATGTAGACCCCTTCAGAAATGATAAGAATTTAAGTACACTGAGTGGGAGGGCACTTCCTGTGTCACCTGCAGTCCAGGGGACGATGCTGGCTTTCAGGGATGGCACAGCATTCCTGGCCATCAGAACCTGTCTCCCCAGTTTGGGGCCACAGTCCTCTTTCCAAGACAAAGAATAAATAGAAGGGCATGGGGAGAAATGCGGAGAGTTATTTCAGTCTCGACTTATGAGGACATCATTGTTCCTAATTTAACAATATCCTGTTTCCCTCTCAAATGACAATATATAGTTTGTGTGTGTGAATTTATGAGGGTGAAGTTCCATATGATCCATGTCAAGATCTTGAGTAGTTAATACGACAATCTTCTTGAGGAGAAAAGAGAAGGCTACTTCCCTGAGGAGTTCAAAATGCTCCTAGTCTCTGAGACCAGGACAGGGGTCTTTGGGGGTGAGATGGAACACTGTGGAAGGCTGGAAAATGCCTCCTAGGATATCAAGGTCCTGACCGCTATAAAATGTGGATATTCCCTTAGAGGGTAAAAGGGAATTTGAAAATGTGAGTGCACGAAGAATGTTGAGATGGAGAGATGCCCTGGCTTTTTTGTGTAGACACTAAACAGAATCACACTGTCCTCATAAGAGCAAGGCAGACGGGGATTATGGAAAAAAGCCAGCAACAGGATGGCTGAAGGAAGATCCTACCCTGCTGAGTGTTAAGAGAAGGAACATGCCATGAGCCAGCAGTGCAGTGAGTGCAGCTCCAGGAGAGGAAAGGGCACCCCATAGAGCCTTTGTAAGAAGCACAGCCATGCTGACACTTTCATGCAGACCCAGCTTAACTGATTTCACACTTCTGACCTCCCAAACCTTGAGAGAATAAATCTGTGTTTCAAATCACAGTTTGTGGCAATTTTTCACAGCTGCCATAGAACTAACGCACAGGGTCTGTACACACGTGACTGTGGATGCCTAGGATTCCCCATGATTGTTTTGGGTAGGTGACACATCACAGAACTTCTGTGTTCTCCATACTCCACTCTGCCTCCAGGAGTAACTCTCAGGCTACAATGCAGTTCATCTTCTCTGACCCTATGAGAGGGGGCAGCTGCTATTGCTCCAAAGAGAAGTTTCTGACATCCACTGAGGACTCTGAGTTCAGTGACTTCTTGTTCAAACCCACCATGATGGTAACATTTACATGGGAAATTACGAGACACTAGGAAAGTTTTGGGTTTTTTTGTCCCTCTCCTTTTCTTTTTTCTTTCCTGTAGATTCATAACCCTGAGTCAAGGAAAGGCTGCACCACATTGTCCCAGTCACTGCCTCAGCCCAGCACAGCTGCCCTCTCCCTCCGGGTTTCTGACACACTCAGGATGTGGGTCGTCACACTGTGTCTCTCACAGTAATTTGTGGCTGTGTCCTCAGACTCCAGGCTGCTGATCTCTAGATAGGCTGTGCTGACGGAGGTGTCCATGGAGAAGACGAATCATTCTCAGAAGCCCTGGGCATATGTGGGCTTCCCAGTGTTTGTGTTGATCCAGCCCATCCACTCGAGCCCTTGTCCAGGGGCCTGTCGCACCCAGTTCATAGGGTAGCTGGTGAAGGTGTTTCCAGAAGCCTTGCAGGAGACCTTCACTGATACCCCAGGATTCCTCAACTCAGCCCCAGACTGCACCCGCTGGACCTGGGAGTGGACACCTGTGGAGAGGAGACAGGAGTGGATGGTCTCCTCCTCACACCGGGAACTGGGGAGCCCATTACCTGTAGCCACTGCTACTAAGAAGAGGTTCCTCCAGCTCCAGTCCATGGTGATGTGCTGTGCTCTCGGGGCTTCAGTAGGGGGTGGGGTGATTGTTGGGTGATGCTCTCAGGGAACAGACATGTCCATATTTAACCTAGTACACCTCAGCTCATTTTAATATTCATGAGGCTAAATATTTCATAGTCAAGATATAGATCATCTTGAGAGAAGAAGATCGATGACAGAAGGACCATGCTCAGTGGGACTCTGAGGGTCCAAGTCCTAATCCTTGTTTGAGGATCTGTGTCCTCTGCCACATCCCTGAACTCTGCAGACAGAGCTCTTCCTACTGAGCAACAAGCCCCCACAGGACATGCTCCTCATTGTGAACCCACCTTTGAATGGCACAGAGACCACCTGAACCTGTTCTGGGCTTTGATCTGAATGTCTTATTCCTGGGGTTGGAGTGTCTCCCAAAATGCTGCTCTCATTGAATTCATAAAACCATCCCGGTCTTCCATCTCCTTACTATTAAGATACCTACAAACCCTAGAAGCACCCCCTTTGAGTGTGTTCTCATTGACTTGTGGAGTTAGGTAAATGCTCCCAATAGAACTGGTTATTTATGCAAACTTGAGCAGTCCTTGTCCAACTCTTACGTCAGATTTTTTTAATAGGAAAACCCAATCCCTCATAGGAAGCCGCTACCCAACACCCTCTGCACCTGCTCCTGGGCTGGATCCCTGTGCTGGGAGGTCCTGAGTGCCCCCTGAAGCCCAGCACCTGCCCTGCAGGGAGGGTCCTGTCTGGACTCACAGGTCATTTCTCTCTCGGTGCCTCTAGTCCAGTGTTAACAGCTGTGTCCTGACTCCAGGGTGCTCCGTCAGTGTCACCATGTGATTTGGCATCATCTCTTGAAATAGTGACTTGGCCTTACTAAACCCACATGCTCTGCAGGGAGACCCCAAGCAAGGATTTTATGATACTACCAGGGAGCCCCTTCCCTGGAGCTGCCAGATGCCCTAACACAGTCCACACTCACGGTGAATCAGAAAACCTGGGGGCTTTGGGGGAGCCTCATGTATCCTTTAGGTCCCTCTGGTTTATCATCACATGAGAGATATGAGTACATAGAAACGATGGGGCTCCCTGTCCAATCCACACCCACTATCCAATAACACACACACACACACACATACACACACACACACACACACACACACACACTGGAGGTGGTATTTGCAGCATAGGCCCCAGATTTGCTCTTCTTCCCTGAACCTGGCACATGGGCAGTGCTCCACACTTACCTAGGCCTGGGTATGTGACCTGCTTTGACAAACAGAGCAAAAGAGACACGATGCCAGTGGAGACTGGAAAGGGCACGCACATTGGTTTGCCTGTTCTCCCAGCTCCTGGAACCCTGCACGTGCTGCAGTGAGAAGGGGTCAGGCTTGTCCTCTGGTGGGTCAGACCCAGGGCCAAATCAGCTCAGTCAGTGCTACAAAAACTGAGCCCCTGATGTGTGGGAAGGGTCTCACTAGACCTACAGACCCAGCTGGTCCCCGTTCTCAGAGGCACAGCCAGGAGCCCTGAGGACAGGGCCATGGAGGGCACTGGATGGGGCAGTCTCCCCAGGAGCAGAAGCAGGAACAGGGACCCGGAAAAGTGAGCTGGGATGGTCAGAGTCCCTGTGGACCAGTGTGTGGAGTGGGCCTCCGCTGCTCCCTTTCTACAGTGAGGGAGTCTCTCCTGGTCATCAAGTCCCTGTATCACCTGTGCAGGTGGGCTGCATGGGGGCACTGACTTGTCTTTTAAGTTCTCAGGTCTCTGGAACAGAAGAAATAAACTTAAAAAGCCTCAGCTGGGGAGATGCATCCCCTTCCTGGCCTGGTTAAAATAACTCCAGACATGATCCTTGATGCTGCCTGTGGAGGGTCTTCTGGGTCTCCCTGTGCGGTGAACACATGCTGTGCGTGGTCTGTGGAGGACTCAGATGATTGCAACAAGGTCCCACCCTGCACCATAAACACAGGGCCCTGGGCAATGTGGCCCCACATCCCCTTCACCAAGAGTTGCAGTCTGTGTCTCTGCCCAAACCCAGGCTGGGCCCTGGGACAGACTCCAACCAAGTGTGAGGGATAGACAGTTCAGGGACTCTGGGCTGCCACTGCTGCTTCCTGGGACACTGTGGACACCACCAGGTGCCTGAGCCTGGGGCTGGGACTGAACACAGTCAGACAGAGCCACCCCCCGGCCAGTCTCGGGCTTGCACCTGGGGGTCCCCTGGAGACACTACACCTGCAGGAGGGGAGACCTGCGAAGACAGAGGAGGAGGAGGTAGTGCCATTGTCAGCAGACTCAGGTGAGCCTGCTCTGTAGGGTCACCTCGTGGGCGGGGCAGCAACCAGCAGGTGAGTAGGTCAGCCCCGTGAAGGGCGCCCTGGCCTCCGCAGGACACCGGATCACCAGTACTGACTTGGGTTCCCCCATCCTCAGGGCTCAATCCTGCTGGTCATCGTCCCTCCTGACCATCTGCCCCTGGACCTCAGGCCCCGCATCCAACATGGAGACAGACCCACTGCTCAGTCACCCACTCCTACACCAGCCAGTTCCCTGTGGGACATCCTGTCTCCTCCTGGATCCGCATCTCTAGGTGAACCCTGAGGGATACAACTGGATACAACAAAAACTCCAAGAGGAAGAGGGAGACTTTGTCACAGGCACTAAGGAAGAGAAAGGAACAGTCTGGTCCCCAAGAGAGCCATCCTGAGCTTTTCTGGACATAGGCATCAGAGGCTCAACTGCTCTCCTGTGCCTGTCTTGTCTCCTCTGACGTCCCTGGGCGTCCCTCAGTTCTCCTCCTCACAGATTCTGCGTCTCGTAGCACTTGCAGACTTCATCCACTCTCATGATCCAGGTGTGGTGGTCGTGTGTGGGGAGGAGGTGTAATATATTATTTGGAATAACTCTCAGTGATGTGGGGGTGTTGAGTCTCTAACCTGTGACCTTCCCAAGGGTCTCCAATGGTGCAGGACGTTTCCTGTCCCCTACTCCCTTCCCAGGCTGCAGGGTCACCAGTCTTTTTCCTTGAATCTCTTGACCCTGTTAACAATCCTTCACCTATTAGGTGATACAGAAATCATGAGTGATGGGTGTGGAATGTGAAATAATTTCCTCCCCCTCGCAGGATAAGGTTCTGGAAAAGTCCTTCCCCTGGAAGGTCTGCCTAGAGAAGGCTCTTGGTGGATTTCTCAGTGACTAGTCCTCCCCTCCCCCGGTCAGAGCCACGAGCGGCTATATATGGATCCTCACCTTGAAACCTGGAGGTTTCTGGACAGAAAACCCACAAAAGTGTGGGGTGTGGCCCCAGGAGCTCTCACCCTCACACCATCCACCCTTGTCCTCCAGCCATTCACAGTTACCCTGCAAGTGTTCCCCCTGTCTGTGCCTCCAGCAGCTTCTGTCCCAGGAAGCTGATCTCACCTGGGGTTCTGAATGAGCCTGTGTTCCCAGTAATTAAGGTGGAGGTTTCCCTGAAATTACTGTGATCAGTAAAGGAAAAGTCACTAATTTTCAGTTTTTCCAGATATTTTTGTGTATGTGAGAATAAGAGTGATGATTTCCAAGATCTTACATGTCAGAGCAGGAACCCGAAGTCCCCTCAGAGGTCACCATTGACCTGTTACCAGATACAGGAATCTACCCTCACCAAATGTAAGTGGACCCTGGACAGACGTCACTGGACATTAAATCACGGAATGTCTCAGCAATCTCAAGCCTCTCCCTGGAAGCTGGGATTCAGAAAGCACAACAGGCGAGGAGCCAGGTAAGTCTCAGGTGACATCATGTTCTGGAAGGGCGACCCTGCCCCTTGAGGGTCCCAGTAGGTGCATCTGGAACCTCACAATTGAGAACAGAGGCTCTCATTCCTCAAACACAAGACACACTCATGAGAAAGCTGCTTCCCAGGTGGAGGGCAGAGCAGAGTGGAGAAGATGGTGGCATCCAACCAGGAACCACCAAAAGAGGTAATAAAAAAGAAGTGAGAAAAGAAAAAGGAAACTTGATCACTACTTTATGCCTCTCAGTCACCCTCTGCCTTTTGTGCATTTGAGAATGAGTTATGAAAAATCGTTTTGAATTCAGAGGCATCCGGGAAGGCACATCATCATTAATCTGGAAAAGTTTTTGGGAAAACTGTTAGATGAGAGGAAGCCACAGATGCTGGCAGGAAACCAGCCCTTACCCTCCACTGCACCTGCCCTGGGGCTGGTCCCCTCTACTTGGTAGGTCTTGGGTACCCCCTGGTGATCCTGGGCACCCACTGAAGCCAGCCCGTCCTGTCTCCCTGCAGGGAGGTTTGTGTCTGGGCTCACACTGACTTCCCCTCACTGTGTCTTGCACAGTAATACACGGCCGTGTCCTCCGTGGTCACAGAGCTCAGCTGCAGGGAAAACTGTCTCTTGGATGTCAAGTCAGCAGTGATGGAGATGCGGCCCTTGATGGAAGGGCTGTAATTCTTATTCCATGTTGTTCCACTAAAGTAACCACATCCCAGCCATTCCAGCCCCTTCCCTGGGGGCTGGCGGACCCAGCTCCAGGATTCACCACTGGTGACAAATTAACCAGAGCAGGTGCAAGTGAGCGACAGGGTCTCTTGGGCCTTCACCAGTCCTGGACCTGAGTCCTGAAACTTAGACTGGGACAGGACACCTGGAATGAGAGAAAACCATTGCTTTTTTTCACACACAGAGAGCCCAAGCTTCCCATCACCTCTTTTCAGATGTCCCTGAGCTGCTCACACTGGAGGGCTGTCAATAGACAAAGGAGGAAACATAACAATCTCATCTTCTCCAGGGAGAGTGTAACACCTTTCCTAGAGTTACTCAGCCAAGGATGGAAAGAGAGAGCGATCGAGACAGAGCGAGGCTGACAACACTCCACACTGTTACTGTGATATAAACAGAGCTGGAGAGGAATTTGCCTGTTCCAGGAGCCCTCACCTCACTAGGGGAAGGAACCACAGGGGATCCTGTGCCTCTGAAGCTCCTCTCTGGGGTGATCGTCCTTGCTCAGGCCTCAGAGAATACAGACACTCCTCTTCATAAAGGTCCCATCCTCCTGAGCTTCTAGACTTTCATTTCAACTTAATGTCAGGAAAACATTTCAGAGAAACTGGCAGGTATGTCCGACACAGTGTGGAGGGAAGTGGCAGAAAATCTTAGATGACCACACCACTCCTGAGATGGAGTTTTGTGCAGATAAAGCTGTCTGCTCAGCAAACCAGACTTTTGCTGTAAGTAGTAACCACATTCTTCTCTGAATTAGTACTCTAGTGTAAATTTTCAAAAGGACAAAAAGAAATACCTGAAACTGTCTTCATTACAGACCACAGGATTATCATTGTAGAAAACACCAAAGTATCTACCACAATATCCTGAATAATCATGGAGATGAGCCAGGATGCAGGCTCCCATTTCAGTTGCTTTGCAGTATACTAGTAATGAATAGTTAGAATTTGAGTTTAAAAGCCATGCCATTTACAATACACCAACAAATTTGTTCTGAAATCTGAGACACATGTATAGGATCCATATGAGGAAAAGTTAAAAAACAGTGATGAAATATTTAAAAGAATGTAAATAACAGAGACGCATACTGAATCTCTGCATTGGAAGACTAAATAAAAATAGGCTACCTATTTTATCCTGGTTGA